ACCCCACAGCGCATTGCTAGAATTGGAATATTTGCTATTTTCAGGAGCTCCCTCCCTGTCATTCCATTGATGATCCGCCTGACATACTTCCCATTCTGCCATTCCCATGTCCTCTCTCATTCTTACTGCCTGCATCAAGATATAATACGGCTGGTTTGTGCAGACACCAAATTCAATTCTATTTATGGGTTGGTTGTGCTCATTCTATACTGGGGATTTGATTCATTGGGCATCTTGGTGTCTTACATCTTCATTCTTCACTCTATGTTGAACATTGCATCCTGGGAGGAGAGGCTCAAGGCCTTGAACACATGTGCCTCCCACATCTGTGCTGTCCTCATCCTTTATGTGCCCATGATTGGCCTTTCCATTGTCCACCGTTTTGCCAAGCATGCCTCTCCCCTTGTGCATGTCCTTATGGCTCACATCTACCTGCTAGTGCCCCCAGTTCTCAACCCCATCATCTATAGTGTGAAAAATAAGAAAATTCGGAGGGGTATCATCCACCTGATCACCCCCAAGTCAATGCACTCTACCCCAAGATAGATATTAGTAACAGATAATCTCATAAAGCTTGTCATTGTGATGAACTGAGAAGAGTACCAAAAGATATCAATGAATCCCAGTCATCTCTGCTCCTCATACATATATGAGCAAACAGAAACACACACACACACACACACACACACACAAACACACACACACACCCCTGATATTCCAAATATGTGTATGTGTCCATGTAAGCTATTTATGTTCATATGAATTATCTAAACAGAATTCCTGGAAGGCCTTGATAGTTAGGATTTGAGATCTAGTCAATTCCCAAGGGGAAAAGGAGATACAGTGTGATAGAGGAGAGGGGAAAACATGCCTTAAGAGCACTCAGTGTGCTTTCTTTAAGTAAATGGATAAATGAATAAAGCAGTTAAGTGTTTAATATGTACAAAACTATAGTGGGCAGTTAGGTGGTGCAGTGGTTAGGGTATGGGGGTCTGAAGTCAGGAAGACAAATTCCTGAGTTCAAACCTAGCCTCAGACACTTACTAGCTGTGTGATACTGGACAAATCACTTAATCCTATTTGTCTCAGTTTCCTCATCTGCAAAATGAGTTGGAGAAGAAAATAGCTAACCACTCCAATATCTCTGCCAAGAAAACCCCAAATCAGATCATGAAGAGTCAGAGATGACTGAAAAACAACAACAATAAAGACTGAACAATAAACCACATATATTAACATATGTATGTACACACATATTATAGATAAATATAAATATATAATTTTGTGTAAGTTAATTACTATATATGCATAGAAAATCCACTTTTTTAAAGTGATAAGGTTTTTATTATTATTATTAATTTATTTATTTTTAGTTTTCAACAATCACTTCCATAAGCTTTTGAGTTTTAAATTTTCTCCCCTTCCCTCCCCACTTCCCTCCCCAAGGCAGCATGCAATTTGATATAGGTTCTACATGTACAATCCTATTAAACGTATTTTCACATTAGTGATGTTATAAGGAAGAATTAAAACCAATAGGAGGAACCAGAAGAAAGAAGAAACAAAACAAAACAGAAGAAAAAAAGAACAAACAGTATGCTTTGATCTGCATTCAAACTCCATAGTTCTTTCTCTGGATGTGGATGGCATTTTCCATCATGAGGCTTTTGGAGATGTCTTAGATCCTTGCATTGCTGAGAAGAGCTAAGTCTATCAATATTAGTCATCACACAACATGGCTGTTACTGTGTACAATGTTCTCCTGGTTCTGCTCACTTCACCCAGCTTCAGTTTATACATTCTTTCCAGGTTTTTCCAAAGTCTGCTTGCTCATCATTTCTTACAGCACAATAGTATACTATTACATTCATATACCACAACTTGTTTAGCCATTCCTCAATTGATGGGCATCCCCTCAATTTCCAATTCTTTCCCGCCACAGAAAGAGCTGCTATAAATATTTTTGTACATGTGGGTCCTTTTCTCATTTTTATGATCTCTTCAGGATACAGCCCTATAAATGCTATTGCTGGGTCAAAGGTATGCACATTTTTATAGCCCTTTAGGCATATTTCCAAATTGTTCCCCAAAATGGTTGGATCAGTTAGCAACTCCACCAAAAATGCATTAGTGTTCCAATTTTCCCACATCTCCAACATTTATCATTTTCCTGTTTTGTCCTGTTAGCCAATCTAATAGGTGTGATATGGTACCTCAGAGCTGTTTTGACTTGCATTTCTCTAATTAATAGTGATTTAGAGCATTTAGAAAATCCATTTCTTTCTTCTCTTTTAATTACTGTTGTTGTTGTAGCTTTTTCCTTTAATTGTTGCATTATTTTGAGGTGATGACCAAGAACTAAAGGCTTCTGAATATTTCATTCCATTATCTTGCCTTAAATTTTCTAAAAATTTTCAATTTAGCTAATTTTCTGAGGAGTATTTTACTACAGATATGTTTCAGTTCCTCACATAATAAATTTATTAAATCACTGTTTGTTGGCAGATGAGCTGAGTTTTGAGGGAAGTCAAACCTAGAAATGGAGGTGAGAGAATACAACATTCCAGGTTTGGAGAACACATAGTTCCAAGATATGTATAGGTGATTATGTAGTGTCGTGTTTCAGGAATAGCAATAGGATGGTATAGCTAAATTGTAGTGTGTCTGGAAGAAGGTAAGGAGTGAGAAAATTGAGAAGGTGAAAAGGGGAGAGTTCGGAAGAGCTTTAAACAACTAACAGAAGAGTTCATATTTAATCATGGAAATAATAGAGAGACATTGGAACTTAGCAAGCCTGGATATCTCAGGAAAATCTCTAAGAATCTAAGTTATGGACAAGTTTGCATGAGAGGAATTCTCTACAAACATGAAATCATAGGTCCAAAACTCTTCTCTAAAAATGTTTAGTATGATCCTTTTCATATAACAGATGCTTCATAGTTCTGTTTTACAATCTAAGACACCAAGGAAAAGCATATCCAAAATGAAGAATAACTCAAACACAGGCAGACATCAAGTTGAAGGATACCTTCCTCCAATACATTTGGTGTTGGTTGATTTTTAATTGAAAGAGGATGGGTGAAGTTCCCATTACAGTTGACTATTAGGGAATCAAAGGAACAAATGACCATTGAAGCCATATCCACTGGTGTTTTTAGTATAAAAATAAAAGTAATTGAGATCTTTGTGATGAGTCATCAATGGACATATCACACGCTCCTTACTGCTGAATAGTCCAAAGTTTCTTTGTCCCAGATGTCAATAGTCCTAGCTGCACACTCTCCCATATGCAGAAATATATGAATAATTGAGTTTTCTTGGATGTGGAGGTCTTTGTGTTAGCACACATATGAGAATTAATGTATGGGACTTGAAGTAAGAAAGACCTAGGCTTGAGTCCTCAATATTACTACCAATGTGACATGAAGCAAGATGCTTACTCATTCTGAGCTTCAGTTCCCCCATCTTTAAGATGAGACAATTTAAAAAGATTATGTCCAAGTTTCCTTACAGCTTGGAAAACAAAAACAACTATGATCCAATGACTCACTCTAAATATTTTTAATAAATGATCATAGCTAATAAATATTGAAAAATCAGTCTTGTACCTTTTTCTCTTTCTTCTCCAATCTCCTTTTTTGATCTTGTGTTTCTAGAAGTACTGGCATCATATGAGGGCTATTGTACTTTGTTATCTGTATAGATATATACACATATGGTTATTATTTAAATACCTGACCTAGAAAGGTGGAAATATTTTAAGATGCCACCGAGAGAACAATTAGCATCACTCCCTTGGATTTAGTCAGAAGTCAGCTCTAAGCAACTTAACATCATGGAGAAAGTAAATATTGAAAAAAAAAGTGATATGCAATGGAAAGCTTATTAGACCTCAATCTAGAGACACCTGGGCTTGAATAATGTAGCCTAGACTTATCAGCAATGTGATCATAAGCAAATCATTTAACCTTGCTGAGCCTGTTTTCTCTTCAGTAAAGGGGAATATTTAAATTTACAATGTCTATTTCATAATAAAGACAACCATGTGCATAAAGTGTTTCTCAGAATTTAAAACACTATGTAAATGTGAACTAGTTTTATTATGTCTAATATTTTATGAATAAAGATGTATCTTAGATGCTAAAGATATCAATAATAGATATCACTATTCTTGTCCCCCCCACTCATTTTATATAATTTTATTTCCCTCTTCTCCATCCCTCAGTCTTTTCTCTCAAATTAAATATTTTAGATGGCATTAGCTGCAGAGGCCCCTAACTATATGATCTTCAACCTGAAGGTCTTGGGGGAATACATAGGTAAGATATGAGCTACATGCATATCCCTCCATCAATCTCCCATAGCAGAGTCTGGAGCGAGTGGTAATATAACAGGAATTTTGCATCATTCTCTTTTTGATTCAAAGGTAGTCTGATCATCTCAGGAGATAAAGGTTCCCCTCAGGACTTATTACCATTTTCTTTCCTATAGGAATACTAGCAAATCTGTCCCTCCCTACCACAGAGGCTGAGGAATAGCTGGCTATGTCCCTTAGGCTCCATTCACTAGAGAACATCAAGGAGCAGCAATAATTGATTCCAGTTGGTTTTTTATTATCAATGAGAACTAATTGGAAACTGAAAAAGTCTGGGGAGACAAGTTAGACTAACTCAGAGCAACAGAGAAATAATTCCTCTAAAGTGCTGACCAATTCAACAACCAAGTTCAGACTAGCAGGTGCTTCTTTGCCTAGTTTATGGACAACAATACTTTAGACAAAGTGAAGTGCCAATATTGTGAGTGTTTCACATCTAGCCAAAAGAACTAATAATTCCTAAACTTGCCATAAAAATAATATTTCTACAACAAAGCAGTGCTCCCTACTTCTGAACTGATGATGCTTGAGGTGACTAAGTGATTATTCATTTTTTCAAAGCTCTTTAAAGATTAGTATGTAAGTGAGGGTTCTGACCTCACCCAAGAAATCCCTTTTGTCACTTATGTCAACTCCTCCTGGTCACAACCTCAGTGTCTCCACATTCCTCCTCACAGGCTTTCCAGGATTAGAACAATTTTATTCTTGGATTGCCGTCCCTTTCTCCTCCATCTATGCTATTGTCCTTTTAGGGAATTGCATGATTCTCCATGTGATCCGGACTGAGCCAAGTCTACATGAGCCCATGTTCTACTTCCTAGCTATGCTGGCTTTCACTGACCTGTGCATGGGGCTGTCTACTATTCACACAGTGTTGGGGATCTTGTGGGGGTTCAGCAATGACATCAGCCTGGATGCCTGTATTGCCCAGACTTATTTCATTCATGGTCTGTCCTGTACAGAATCTGGAGTCCTTCTTGCCATGTCTTTTGATCGATTCATTGCCATCTGTAATCCTCTCAGATATACAACTATCTTGACAAATACCAAAGTCATTCAAGCTGGGTTGATTATTTTATCAAGGAGTGCTTTGTCAATTCTTCCTGTCATCATCCGCCTGAAGTTCTTCAGTTTCTGCCATCACCACATCCTCTCCCACTCTTTCTGTCTACACCAGGACCTGCTCCGGCTGGCTTGCTCTGACATCCGCTTCAATAGCTTCTATGCCCTGGCTCTGGTGATCTGCACCTTGCTATTAGACTCCCTCCTCATTCTCCTCTCTTACATCCTGATCCTACATACAGTCTTAGCTATTGCATCCCAGGAGGAGAGATTCAAATCCTTTCAGACTTGTATCTCCCATATCTGTGCCGTCCTGGTCTTTTACATCCCAATTATTGGTCTTACAATGGTGCATCGGTTTGGAAAACATCTCTCACCATTAGTCCATGTCCTAATGGGTAACATCTATATCCTTTTTCCACCTCTCATGAACCCTATCATCTACAGCATCAAGACCAAGCAAATTCGCATCAGGATTCAAAGAATCTTCCTCTTGAAAAGAGATTGAACGGCTGTGGGACTCAAAAGACCTGATGTTTGGTCTCCCAATATAATAACTCTCTGGTACACTCAAAGGATCTCAAAGTGAATTTTTTGTCTGTTTGTCTTTATCAAAGATAGAAATTTTTGACCTAGTTAATTCTGGTGGGAATCAGGGAGCACTGTTTAAAGTATGATGCCTGAATTAGGAAGAGAGAACTTCTTTTTAATTTATGTGATACTCTTCATTCCCTCCTCTTTCTTGTCTTAACCTTCCTCCCTTTATCTCTTACTTCATATTTCTCATCTACACTGTCTCTCACTCTCTCAAAATCTACCCTACAGAAATAAATTAGTATCAGTCATTCTGATTATGTGAATTGAGTCCCCATTTCCCTTATCCAGAGATATTTTCCTTTTCATAATGATCTCTACTTATAGAATGTAAACCTGTGTCTTCTATTAAAGGTAAAGTAAAAAAAAAAAATAAAGATTCATCCAGGGACCCTTGAAATTCTACAACGTAGGAAGGCACTTATCTAGCTTATGTGTATGGCCAGCTCTGTGGCCTCTTTCCACTTGGATGGAACCTCCAGTCTTTCCAGGTTTTTTTATTAACCAATGACCACAATTTATTTACCATTGATAATGTTTTTCAAAAGATTGTTTATAGCAACCCTTGCTTCTAATGAGTTATATGCCCAATCAGTCTTTGATAGTGTCCTGTTGTTGTTAATGTTTGTCTCAATCTCTCACTAAACAGACACACATTTATACACATGAATGTACACAGAAGCACTTATATAAGGACTGAAATGAGATCACCTTGAATCTCAAGTACAGTGTTTCGAAATGCATTGTTGTCCTACCCACCATTTCCCTGACTTCAACAATTTGCAGCATTGCAAGGTTGAAAAATTGTCCTAAGAGCTTCTCCAGGCATATCTTGAGAGAATTACAAAGACTTAATCTTTGACCTCTAGGAGTTTACTCTGAGGTCAGAATAGTAAAACATGCAAAGAAAAACAAAAGAATAAGGGCAGGCATGGCTTGGCAACATTTCAGGTAAATGAGTCCTGGTGATTAAGATTGCCCAAAATCTAAATGTCAGTAGTTGCTTCTTAAAAAAAAAAAAAAAACCTAGAATATTAAGTTGTAAATAGAAGTCTAGTGTTCCAAAATAAGAATGTGCCAGTCCTTATGTATTCTGTCTTTACTAGACCAGATTTGGCATATTGGGTTTAGTTCTATGTTTATTTACCAAACACTGATGCTTGGAAGCCCTTTAACAGAGATTCAGATATCCATTCCATAGCTCTACATAGAAGGCAATTGTCCTTGGGAGAGGGGACACAGATTAATTCACAATTAGTGTTGATGTATGATATCACATCCCTTCTTCAGGAAGATTTTAAGAGGACAGAGGACACTGGCCACATGAAAAGAAATAGAGATGAAGAAAACATGGGAGAAGGAAAGGATAAGAAGGGAAAGAGCATGAGATAATGAACAGGTCCAATCCCAACTCTTTCCTTCAGAAGGTAACCTTTCAGTCTGACCAAGAATGCCCACTACATAAACTCTCTGACCTTAGTGGGGAACACATTTTTACTTTAATAATTCTTGTCTGTCAGGGAGTCCCACTCTTTCTAATCCTGGGAAGTTTTTCAATCACACTAAATTTTCTAAATCTCAAACAGGGGCACTGGCAAATTAGAGTAGGTCTAGAAGAAAGTGGTAAATCTAACTCAGTAGGTGGAAAATGATGGAATATGAGAAACAGTTGAATTGGGAGTGTTGAGTCTAGTGAAGAGAAGATTTAGTATTTTCCTGGTTTAGGGTCCAGGGTGCACAGAGAAGCATAATATATTTGTCCACTCCAATCCTTTCCATCACTCTAGTTGGCTGACATCCAGTAGTTGGAAATAAACTTGTTGTCTTAGTCATTTTATAAAAGTGATATACAGAATAGCAGTCCCTCCAAAACATATGTACTCTTTAAAAAAAAGTCATTGCTTAATGATATTTTGAAATATAACTAGAATATGAACTGATTCAACCATTTTTAGAGGAATTTGGAGCTATAGCCAAAGGGCTATAGAACCGTGCATACACTTTGATCTAGCAGTGCCACGACTAGATCTGTATCCAAAAAGAAATAAAAAACAAAGGGGAAAAGGATGTAAATATTTATAGCAGCTCTTTTCTGGGGATAGGGAGTTGGAAATTGGGGGAATGCCAATCAATTGGGGAATGACTGAACAAATTGTGCTATGTCATTGTGATGGAACACTATTGCGCTATAAGAAATGATAAGTAGGATGTAAGAAGATCAGCTGTGAATAATTTAGCTATTCTCAGCAATACAATGATTCAAGACAACTCTGAAGAACTTACAATGAAAACTTACATCCATTCCCAGATAAAGAACCGGTGGGGTCCAAATACAGATTGAAGCATCCTTTTCTCTTACTTTATTTTTCCTGAGGTGTGGTTTTTTTTGGTTGTTTGTTTGTTTGGTCTATGTAATAGCATGGTCAAGAGAAAGTCAGACTTGGAGCCAGGAAGATCTTCATGTCCTGCCTCTGACACAGAAGTTGAGTAACCCCAGGTAAAGCATTCAAAGGGTTTTAGGCAAATCTCGAATACAATAAATTAAAGAAAATGTGTCATCTTGCATTTGTAGAAAGAATTTTAATATCTTGGAATTATTTATACAAATGAAATCAAAGGACCAGTCTCTATTCCTATTTTATTATTATTTACCATTCCTACTACTATTGTTGTTGTTATTGTTATTATATCCTCATGGATAGATTTTTGGATTGATGAAGAATTCTGTTGAGGTGTCTTTTTCAACTGTAGCAGAGAGGAAATAATGGTTATCAATAAATAGTAATAATAATAGTAACAATAAGGGGCAATAGGGACAGCTTGACATAGTGTATAGATTACTGGGCTGGAGTCAGAAAGATCTTGACTCAAATCCTGTCTCAGATACTTACTAGCTGTGGAATCCTGGACAAGTTACTTAATTTCTATTTCCTTCAGACAATTCTCTAGCACATACCTATTAAATTTTAAAGTATTGTGACCATGTTTGTTACTCACAGTGAGGAAATCAGAGATTCTTCTGTTTATTGATTTGGTAATGTTAAGTTCCCTCTGTCCCATCTCTGTCTTTGCTCACTCTGTTATCAATTTGACTGTTTAATTCCTATCCTGATCATGGACTTGTGATTTATTTATTTAGATTAATAAGAATAACTCAAATCCTCCTCCTCCATAAAGCCTTCCCTCATTCCCCCACTTATAACAACCTGTAACACAGGAGCCAATGGAGTGTTTTGGGCTCCAGCCTCTAGAAGGTTCACTTTTGATCTGGGCAGCCAGAAAAACAGCAAGACAGCTTCAGAGGGGTTAAATAATAATTTATTCTTCTCAATGGTTCCTGATAATGGGACAGCAACAACCTGATGGGGGCCAGTTGAGACAGGCACAACATTCCAGCTTATGCAGTTCCCTAAATCCTTCCAAGCCTTGATGGGGGCATTTCAAGGCACACATAGCATTCTAGCTAGCATATTTCCCCTAAGCCTCAATGGGGGCTGGTTGAGGCAAGCACATTCACAAATCCCCCGCATCTCACTGCACAGTGGCAGTAGAAACTGTTTACAACCATGATCCTGGGAACTAATATCTATGATCCTGGGAGCCAGTAGACTGTTTTGGCCATGGATCCTGGGAACTAGTATCTATTATCCTGGGAACTATTATCAAAAAAAGAATAACAAAATCCACCTTACTTATACATCCTTTCCTAACTTCACATAGAGTTTTTTTACAGTTTTCCAATTTACTAAACAAATATTATTATCTATCTACATTACTCACCCTTCTAGAATGTAAGCTTTATTCAACAAGACAGTGTGTCTAACCAAAATTCTGTGTCTCATACAGCACTTAATTCCATACTCTGCACACAGTAGGTACTTAATAAATTTCTGCTGCCATTTAATGAATCAAATAATGATTCAATAAATTTAACTCATTTAATAGAATTAAAAATTTCCCAGAGAACCTCCTAAGAATTATCAAAATAGAAAACAGCTACTCATTTCTGATTATACTCAAAGGGCACTAACAGAATGGACCTGAAAGATATCCTCAATGTTTATAAAGTTTTGGGCAAGAAACTAAATACTACAGGAATAGCCATTGTGTTTTTCTTATTATTGCTCTTGGAAAGTAAAGGATGCAAAAGGATATAAAAATGATGGGAAGAGTAAAGAGCTATTCAAGATCTGATGATGGGATTTGGATTTGTAGGCCTTTGCTTGAAATAGAAGGATGACCAATTCCTGACCAGAGAGGGTGCACACTTACCAAAAGATGGTCCAATTTATTAGGAGCCTTGGAAATATAATCAATAGTATTTAAATTAAAATGTGTGGGAGATAGACAATATCATGTATATGAACATACATAAATACACATATGTACATATGTGTGTATGTATTCCAAGTTATCATAAAGAATAATTACAATGTAAGAAGAATAACATTTGAAATACTCAAAAGTTCATAGGAAACAAAGTACGAGATAAGACACAGTAGTAAACCTTGTGGCCTCAAATGTCTATACTCAAAACCCCAAAGCACAGCCATTGAAGAAGAGGAGTTAATACAAAGAAGTAAATTTAGCCTAATGGGTATCAATGAGACTTGGTAGGAAGAGACTTATGACTGTGTCATCATTCTAGACCAATAGATTCTATAAAGAGCTTTACTTAAAAGCAACATGATGGATGGGTGGAGCCATTTCTATTCTGTCTATACTCTATTCCTTTCCCAACCTTAACCCCTTAGTAAACTAGTTCAACTCTACACTATCCCGTTTTGTTGAATCCCTTGTTCCCTTATTCTATTGATGATCTTCTAAGCCTTAGCCTTGAATTACTTCTGATATCTGCTGCTTTCACTCCTACTCCTAATAAATGTTTATTGATTAACTTACTGCTTTACAAAT